TTATTCAATGATGAATGGCTTTTTTTTCATTTTTTTTTTATTTCTTTAAGCAGCTGAATAATTATAGTTATAATAATTAAGAGGAGCTATTACTAAAGCAATAACAAAATTTAAAAAATATATACATAATTTATTTACATTTTCATAATAGTTATAATAATTAATTATTATTATTAAATAATATAAATATGCAAAAAAATGAACAAATTAATATCTTTTTAACAAATTTGTTTATATTAGTTAATTAAGTACCATAGCAAAGTATGTAACAAAATAAAAAAAAATATAAATTTTTAACAAATTAACAAAACTTTTGTTATTCTATATTGCATAAATATGTCACACAATAAAGCTAAAACACAAAAAGTATTGAAACATTTATGATATTTATAGATTTCTGAGCCGCCAATAGTCACCACCAATTTTAATTTAAAAAAAATCTATTTATTCATATATACACTTTTTGTCTACTTTTTTTATTGTACCATTAAATTTGCTCTTTTAGGGGTAGAAGTATGAAGATAAAGATTTGGTGTTATTTTTTATTTTAGGTAAAGCAGCCAATATTTGGAGCAAACTTCCTAAAAGGATTTGTTAAATCTGAACCAAACGGTTTGTTGAAGTTATATAAATAAATTAAAATAGCATTATAAATAAAAGTTTAAGGTTTATAAAATTTTTTCAAGTAAATTTTGAGCTAATCCACCTTTAAAAACACTAATTCATTGAATTTGTTTGTTTGTTTTTGAATAATTCTGCAAAAAAAAAAAAAATTGTTTTGGTTTTTTTAAATCCAGCTCCCCTTTTTTATTATAGCTAATCCACCTTTTTTTAAAAATGCCATTTCATATATTCCTTGAATTTCTATGAGTTTTTTTGTTTATTGTTGTTGTTGTTGTTGTTTTTTGAATAATTCTGCAAAAAAAATTGTTTGAGTTTAATTTACATTTTAAAAATTTTTTATTTTACTTTTAACTCTTTTTGTATTTAAAAAATATTGTTGCTGAATAATTCTTATTTTGTGATTTAAAATGTTATTTTTTAGGAGGTTGGGAAGGAAATGCTAATTTCAAAATTGTATTCCCAAAAGGTGGTGCTATTGAATTTGCTGACCAATTTCAAAGAGCAGTCAATCAATGTAAGAATTATTTTTTACATAAGTTTTTAAAGTTCAGTTAAACCAACATAGATGTTAACTAAAGAACAAGTAGTCTTTATTTTTTTAATATATTTTATTTATTTATGGTAAGTTATCTCATTAAGTTTTGTTCCTAAAAATGGCATAGAAATTAATAATAACTTTTATTCAATCACTATTGTTATTTCTTTAACAAAAAAAGTTGGTTGCAATGAATTATTGGCACACAGTAAATTATGTTATTGCACATAAATATTAAATAACAATTTTTTTTTTGTTTAACAAAGTAGTTGCATTTGAAAAATTATTTGTTACAAAAAAACAGAAGAAATTTTTTTTACTGATGTTTGTTGTTAATGTTTAATCGATTATTTATATTATATAATACAATAAGTTTTGTTTATAGCATCTCGTTATCGTCAGAGTGGTATGGCACCACCTCCACCTCAACCTGCATTTGTTCCTCAGCCAGGTTACTACCAACCTGCAGGATATTATGCTCAACCTGGCTTTTATCCTCAAGATCCAATGCAAAATGGGGCATATTATCCTCCCCAGGGTTATGGGTATCCAGCACCTCCTCAAGGTTAGAAACTTACTTTAGCGTGTTTTTAAAATTTATGACAAACTTTATGCAATGTTTTTAGTTAAATAAAATTAAATAGTAAAGTTTTACAATTAATGTATAATTTTTTATAAATACATGCAAAAATGTGTCAATACCTGAAAATGTATGCAAATATATGTTATTGTATGCAAATATGTGCTGTTTAATAAAAAATATTAAGATAAACATTCTCTAGCATTAGGTATTTTTTTTATGAACAATAGTAGTTCATGACCAGTTCTGCATATATAGCAGGCCTGAATTTGCTTAATAGATTTGCGTAACAGAGTTTTGACATCTTGAAGTTTTTTTTATTTGCTTTTTATATTTATCGTCATTAATTTTTTTGGACTATTAGATTTTACTAAATTACTCCAATACTAGTTTAATTAAATAATCAACTCTAAAGAACGTAAAAATGTAATTATGTAATAACGTTATCAAATGTTTATTTTGTTTTTTTTTGTTTTAAAAACTATATAATATAATTTTTTTTTTTTTTTTCGGCATTTGACACAATCAGGTTTTGTCTTAAACTAAATCAATAAAAAATTTTGTTTGTGAATAGGTATCAACAATTCTTTTTAATTTTTATGATTTATGGTTTGCATTTTTTGGCTAAATATGAGAAATATATTTTTTTTTATAGGCTAGTTTATTTTAAGCTTAGATACTTTTAAAGTCGTCTCTCAAGTGATAAAATCAGTCATTATATAGAAACTAAAGAAGTAATATATTAAGAGTCTAGTTAAAAAGTAATGTTTTATTGCCAATTGTCATTGTATTTTTAATACCTGAACAAATGCAACTTATAAAATTAAGTAAATAAGTATTCATATGCTTTCTAGATTATTTTGCATAAACTTTATTTATTTATTTTTTTTTCTTTAACATTTCATTCTTTTATGTTGTATTGAAACAATAGACAAGTTTTTATCTAAATATTTTGATTATTACAAATTTTTCAAAGGTTCAAACTTTATATATTTTTTGATTTATCTAAATTTATTATATTTATAAATAATTAGCATATTTTATGTATTTGCAAGTTAAACTTTTGTCACAATGGTGAGTGGTTTTTAAAAGGTTAACTACTTCATTAAAATACCGTTAAATAAAAATTAATTAACTTATTAAAATACTGTGTATAAATATCTATAGATTTAATTATCAAACAAAAACATTTTTAGGGTAAAATTATTTTTATATTAAATTGTTCTTTATCTCGGTAAAATGCTCTTTATTAATACTTCTTAATATGGCCCGATATAACTCCATCCGTATAACTCCATCTAGTAGTTCATATCCACCTTAGTATTTTGAAATATATAATAATGATCAGTTATTACTTTTTTTAGTTTTTTACTTATTTTTGTTTTTCTAAAGTTTTTAAAATTAAGTTTTTAAAATTCTGAGGTTCCCAGAATAAAAAGTTAAATGTTAAACGGAATTATTTATCAAAATGTGAGCATAAAACATTATTTTAAAGCCTTTTTTTCCTTCAAAGTTAACTTTTTTGTTGGAAACATAATTAGTTGTTTGGTTGGCGTTTAGCAATGCTTAGGTCAGCATTGCTAAATGCCAACCCTAATACCGAGGGCTATATATATATATATATATATATATATATATATATATATATATATATATATATATATATATATATATATATATATATATATATATATATATATATATATATATATATATATATATATATATATATATATATATATATATATATATATATATATATATATATATATATATATATATATATATATATATATATATATATATATATATATATATATATGTACTACTCATTATGTTTTTTTGAATGTTTTTTAGATAATTTTAATAAAATTGAATTTTTTATTAAATACCTTTTTAATTCTAGATAATAACATGTAATAGAACATAAAAAAGCAAGGTATAACAAAATACCTTTGCCTAAGTAAAGGTCTAATGAAATATCAGCGGGGATAGTGCAAATCCGCGTAACTAGCATTGGATAAAAGTGCGTATCTGACAAATGCAGCCAATTTGAGATTTCGTGGGCAATGCATGCAGGATTCTAATTGGCAGCCGCCAATATTGAGGTTAATTTAATTTGACCTATAGAATGCAGGTTATTGCCCAAGAACAATACTGCGTATCTGGGGCCAGTAAATGCCAGTATCGCGTATGTGATCAGTTATCATCTGGAGCAAAACTGAAATGTTGTTACGTATTGTCAAATTTGGTTTATAAATGAAAATAATCAACACCATATCAGGTAAGTTTTAGTTTTAATATTTATATACAAATGTAATGAAGAAGAAAAATTTTTTACGTTATGTAACCATTTTTTTAAAACTCATTTTACAAAAAAATAAAACATATCTTACATCTTTAAAAAAAGTTGCCTCATTAAGTTTAATCGTTTTTTTAAAAAAAAAACAATAATGCGCGATCATGTTTTTATAAAGAGAAAAGTGTTTGTTTACATTTTTTTATCGATTAATACTACTTTTTTTTATTTATTTTTATTATCTATATAACTGCATGACTATACTTTTTGTATAGGATTAGTTTTCCTACTTCTAAATTTAATATGATGGGAGTCTACTAGTTTTGTTAATATTGGTATTTTAAATAATTTTAAATAAAATTGGTATTTAAATTTCAGTTTAAATTTTATTTCAACTGTGCTAATGTCATTAGCACAGTTCACCTTACAATATTTAGTCATTAGTAACGACTGAATATTGTAAGGTAGTTTATATAAATGCAATACTTAGTTTAAATTATCACCAAATTATATAAATCATTATGAATATTTTTTCTTTTTTTATATAGCTGATGCATTTGGATTTTTTTAGATAGGTAGAATAACAACAAACTCTTGTCAAGAAGATAAAACACATCAATTTATGACATTGAAAGCTTTAAAGAAAATGACTGATAATTTACCATATCTTAGTTCACCAAGGGGTCATTCCATGTAAAACTGGGACAGTCATTTTAGTCACCATTGGATTTTCTTAAATTTTTACCCAGTGGTACATTATAATTAAACATGAAAAAAAGCAAAATTTGAGCTTCCAAATCAAATGGTTCAAAAGTTATGACGTTTTGAAATTCAGCCTAAAACGTTTCTTTTTTTGCCAACTCCGCCATTATGGATTTTGTAGTTGTACTTTTTAATGAATAATTTAAAATCTATAGGAAGGATGTGGCTAAAAATGAGTACCTGACTATTTTTGACAGTGCTGAATTCAAAAATGTAAAGCAAATAGTGAAATTTAAATTTTATGATGGTTATTTTTTGATTTTAAAATGGTCAGTCCAAATTTTTGTTCTGTTACCATGGGTTGCGCTTTCATCAACTCCTGGAGTTGCCCAAGTCTCATGGATTCAATTTTTTTTTTCAAAAAAAGTAGGTGATACTAGGCTATTGTTATAAAAAAGATGGTTTTGGTTTCTTCAAGAATTATTAAGATATTTCATTTTGAAATTTCAACAAAAAAAATCATTTTTTAGCCTCTATTCTCCATTATAGATTTTATAGCGATACTTTTTGTGTGAATAATTAAAGTTCTAGTGGAGAAGTATGACTGAAAATTGGTACCTGGCCAATTTTCTATTGGTATTGAATACAAAGATAAAGATAAATGAACCATATTCCCAGTATTTGAGTATAATTTTTCAATTTTAAAATATCAACAGTTAAATTTTTTTATTTCTTAATCATGGTTTACCTTTCCTTATTTCTGGAGTTGCCTTATTCTTATTGTGAAATAAAAGGTCTTAAAAAAGTTTAGGTTTCTAAAAGAAAATAAAAAAACTATGTTTTGCATAACTTGCATATTTATAATCAATATTTTCAAAAGTACACATGGAAATATAATTTACTATACAACACATTGAAAATATAATTTCTTTATTTATTAATTATAATAATTTAACGTAACATTATTACTTTATGTCTAATAATAGGGTATTGTTGTGTTAAAAAATAAGAAACTAAAATGCAAACCTTTTTGAAAAATAGTAAAAAATCTGCTTTATTGAAAAAAGCTCAAAAATAAAAAGGGAAAGGAACCATGGAAAGAAACCATGTGACTAAAATTGAAGTTTATATAATTTAAATAATAAAAGTAAAATATTCATTAACTTTCATTGACAAGATAAAAGATGTTCAAATAGAGTTTCATCTTCTTTTGTGATGTGGTACTGACGCCCAGAAGATGTTGACAGTGTTTTAACAAGAGAAATGACATTCATTCTTGGCACCCAGCAATTATCATCTTGCTTTGGCCAGTAGTACGACCGACTTGGATAATTTGGATGCATAAACTTTACCATAAAATCATCATTCTCTTGATCAACTTCAGAAACCATTCCAAGCCAGTAAAAATTGTTGTATTTGCAAAATAAGTATTGTGACATCATAACATTCTCAACTTTATTAATTTCGTATTTTTGTTTATTGAGGAAGTCAAATGTTAGAGCAAAATCATCATCATCGGATACCCTTTTCATTTTTATAATTGAATGAGAAGAAGGTATAAATTGATGGAAACTTCTTGTCCCAGGAATAGTGGTTGCTATTAATAGTCTATCAGCAAGTTTGATTCATACTAGCTCCTTTTCTTCAGCAGTGACGTACACAAACGTAATCCCACTGATTGACTTTTGGCAGTATTCAAACATTGCTTGAGAAGATAGTATTTGGCCTGTTATTAATGGTTTTATGCATAACTTCATTGATAAATCCAACATCATGACTCAAATTATATGAAATTACACAAAAAGAAGATATTTCCAGTTTCACTTTCTTGTAGTAGATGACAACTGGATGAAGAGAACATTGACTCTTGCTCCAATGGTAATTCTGAATCTTGTCTTGTACTACAAAAGTGTAATTCTCTTCAAAATCTGCCAGTATAATAGCCTCATCAATACTAATTGTTTCTTTGAGTTGCTTTAGGTAGCTAGATTGTGATTTTGCTATAAATGAATGAGAAGTAATTTTATCAAGTTTCTCACACAGGAGCTCTATGAATTCATTTAATGGAAGTTGTATTGTTAATAGTTCAGTTCTATACGTCGTTGCCAACTGTTTGAAATCCACTGACTGTTCATTTTCGTCACTGTCATATTGCTCTTGGATCATCACTGTCATAATGATCTTGGATCATCATTTTGTGTGAGATACTGCTGGAAATAAATTTGGGCAGCTTGTATGCCAGGACAACTATTGCATCAGTCAATCATGCAAACTTCTGATTTTCTGCTGCAGACAATCTTTTTAATGATTTCATGGTAAGATGTTTCAAGGCCTACAGCACTCAACATTAATTTAACATTTTGGTGTATTGTACACACACAAACAGAATGTGTACCTTTTGGACCAGCAAGGATGCACCATTTAGGTCTAAGACTGCAAAATTTAGAAAATTTTATGGTCTGGGTACTTAATCTTATAGGCCACATAGAGCTCCTTTAGATTACACATAATATATTTTTTTCCCAACACTTACACAGTCTTTTTTACCTGGCATTTGCCTTGAATACTCGTTGTCACAATAAAAAAGCTTTACAAGTTCCATGACATCTTTACTGATTTGATGCCGTTCAACCACATTGGGGTATGCAATGATGCCTTTTTGGTCACGTAAAAGCTTTGCATTATGAATTTTGTGTTGAATTTTGTGTTTGGAAACTGAAAACTCTTTTGCTGCTTTTCTGATAGACCAAGATTTCGTTGTCAATGTCAAAATTTGAAGTTGCTGCTTTCTGTTAGAAACTTTAAGTTTTTCTTTCATGCATTCAACAAGGAAGTCTAGATTGCCAGCTTTGGTTTCAATTTCCTTTAGAACTTCATAGTTGTTAGGTGCAACATGATCGGATTCGGTGACATCCAAAGCAGTTGCAAGTTTCTTAATAGCTGCTTCTTCAACTTGCTTTATCTTTCTCTTTCCAAGTGAAGGTTTGTTAGAGGATTTTGGTGAATGAACTTTTAGCGGAGACGCTTCAAGTTCACACAAAGTACTGTTGAGCAATGATCTTGTTGATTCCAGTATAATTTCTTTTTCCATATTATCTTCAGTTAATTTTATCTCTAACTCATTCTCTTCTGATTCTTCACTTGATGCTAGTTTATGTCTGCATTGTGTACAAAATTTTTCACCTGGCACTACAAATTTGCCTTTACTGCATAAGTACTTTGCTGAATCCAAGTTGATTTCACGAAGACTGTCTAAAAAAAGGGAAGAACTCTTTTAAAATGTATAAAAATTGTAATAAATTTATTTTAAATTTAAATTTGTATGGCATTTAATAGTGCACTTTTAGAAGTCTGCTAAACATAAGGCTAAATATAGCTAAAATAAATTGGCTGCAAAAAATTTCATTATTGTAACTCACAACATTTTCACAAAATAAAATGTTGTGATTACTATAAATACCTTTTATAACTTTGTTATGAGTATTAAATGGATTGCAGCATCGTGTTAATTTAGTTGCATAACGCTTCAAATAAACATGTTTATGATGTAGACAAGTTGTTGGTTTTACATTGATTATTAAGAGCCCAATCCTCCACATTAATATTTCTCTTTCATATTCAGGAATATCTTCAAAAGGTTCGATTCCAAGCAACGATGTATATGTTGCAAGATGACATTCACTTTCTAGCTTGATTCTAATGGAGCACTGATGGCTGTTTGCCATGACTAAGAAACTGGATTACTTAATTCTCTAATTATTTAATCTTAAGTTAAAATAATTTTAAGTTTATGGTTACTGGTGTTTCAAAACTATATTTATACAACATATCTGACATCACAAATCTATATTTATACATCACAGCAGGCATTGCAAAACTATTTTTTTAAATGAAAATTCACTTCATAAAACATTATTTATATATAAAAACCTACCTCAATAAACTCTTTTTACACATCACAACTGAACCCATTAGAGTCTTGTGATCAGGAAACTCGTAAAAACCTTACCTCTTTTTATTGTAATGTGCTTTTTTACCATTTTTTTTAAAAAAAAACAAACAGTTATCTAACAATTTGAATTAGGTTTTTTTTTTCTATTTTGGATTCAGCATCTTCAAAAATGGTCTAGACGCAATCCATCTCCATATAAGGTAGCAATGGTAGACCATACATTTTTTAAAGATTATAGTATTAAAAGCTACCTTATTTATGATACAATCCGTCCTGATTTAGGTACTGGAGCAAAATATGTGGTTGATATCAGAATTCTAAAATACAATCGCAATGGTACAATAGATTTCAAACTAAGTTATGATGAAAAATTCAAATAATTAGCACAAAGACTAAAAAAGCTCAACCAGAGATTCCACCACAACTCTTTACTGAAAGATTGCCAAAATATGAACATTTGGGTATAACAATTATATGAATAATTGAAAATAACTGAAAGATTGCCAAAATATGAATCCTTGGGTATAACAATTTTTAACAACTGTTAAAAATTGTTATACCCAAGGATTGCCATGAATTTTATGACAACTTACTTTACAAAAATGATTTTCTTTTATTCTGTTAAACTATAACTACGATGACAGTTGTTATTTTTTGAGTAGTTAAAACAGTTCTTATACTTTCTTGATGTTTTTTTTTAATTTTAATGTAAATGAGTAACATTTTTCTTAATTTATAATTATAAAAATTTATTTATGAAGTCATAAAGATTTATTTTTGTTAGATAGCTGAAGATGTTCTTTTACTGTATGAGTTCATTTCGTGATATTACTCATAAAACTTACTCTATTGTTTCTAATACAGTTTTAACCTTCTTCTGTAAAACTATCCATAATGCAGATACGCGCTCCCTACCTGTAGTAGATCCGCGGATTTGCACTATACCCGGCGATATGTAACTTTTATATATATATATTTTTATTTCCTTATAAAATATGTAACTTTTATTTTATAATAATAAAGTGAAAGTGCAAAGTAGCAATAATTATTTTGATAAGGATAGAAAATATTAACTGAGACTAAATTGATGAAATATATGAAGCATTTAAGTTCATTTATATCGTAAATCAATACAAATCAATGAATATGTATAAATAAGTGTGATAAATATGTATAAACAAGCAATTTAGTTAGATGGAGAATATTCTTAAAAAAAAAGAAGTTTAGAATAAACAAATCGATGTGATAAAAAATTTCAATATCTGTTTTTTTTTTTATTAACTTAATTTGTGTGTGGTTTCTATTAAAATTTCTATTCAATGTTTAAATTAAAAACTATTTAAGCCAGAAAAATAATATCGCCTAAGAATAAAAATAATTTATCTGTAAAAAATTAAAAAGTTTTAATAAACTTTTGTTAGATTATCTGCAAATATGCAATTTTATCTCTAAAGTTATTTAAAGTTAGATAACCATTAAACTAAGTTTTCAAAACTATTGTTAGGTAAAAGTTTATTGTTTATTTAAAAGTTTAATATTTTAAGGACTAACTATAGATATAGCCTTAAAACTATCAAACAAACTAAACTTTCATAACTATTTAATGTTAGCTGATATTAAAATAAGTATAAATTAAGTATTTAAATTGATAACCAATCAAAGTCTTTCTTGTTTTGTTTTTAATTTTCTTATTTTTTAATCTTGTTTCTTCAAATTAAAACTACCAATACATCTTTTATGAACGAAATTCTGAGTATTAAAAGCTGCTTTACAAACTTAACTTTTTTTTACTTTTTTCAAATTCTCTTTAGAGCAAAGTTTACGTGTTTAAATTAACTTATAAAATATTTCAACTAAATAAAAAGAATAAAAAAGTCATGCAACAAGTTATAAAATTAAATACTGTACAACTAATAAAATTGCTTTTTATAACAAGCTTCCTGAGTATTTTAATGTTAACATGTTTTAAAGGAAGAAATGAAGGAAAAATGTAATTTTTTATTTCATATTTAAATTCAACTTCTCAAATTTTTATACTTCAATTTGTATTTAGGTGTAAAATAGTGTGATTCTGTTAATATTTCTGTTCATATATATATATATATATATATATATATATATATATATATATATATATATATATATATATATATATATGTGTGTGTGCATGTATTGTGTGTTGTTTGCATATTGAACTTTCATGTAATTTTTTTGTCTTTTAGGTCAGCCTATGTATGCTCCAACGGTATTTTTTTTTGTTTTTTTGTTTTTTTCAGATTTCTTGTTTGACTTAGTAAAAAAGCTTAGTTTAAAAAGTATTCATATTAATAATCAACATTTTTGAAAATTAATTGCATGTAGATACAACAATTACTTTATTTTTAGCCACAAGCTCCACCACCATATCCATATAATAATCAAGCTCAAGCTGTTTATTGTGAGTAATTTTATTTTGTAGGTAAAAGATTTTAAATTTGTGAACTAAAAAATGTTACATAAAACCATAATAATGTAAATATAAAAACTAATTTATTTATGATATATTGCAGTGCATTCAGATGATATATGGCATATGTAAGGGCATTACCCACTTTTATTTAACATGATAACATGTATCAGACTGCATTTATTATTTTTTATGATTAAACATTTAATTGAACATATATGGTTAATTTTAAAAAATTGAAGAGAATTTTGATCCCTTAATATGTGCAAACTGTATAAATAAATTTAATTTTAACTGTGCTATAGTTTTGTAAATAAACTGTGCAAAAAATAATAGAAATTATTATCTTAATATTAAATAAGTTTGAAACTACATGGTTTGTCTCTCTTTATTTAGCATATACTCTTACTGGATAAATTCAAGATTTTTTATATCAATTTCTAAATATTTAATTATTAAAAATGCAATGAGAAATTACCATTTCTAATTCAAGAAATTTACCTTTAGCTAATTTTCTTATAGACAGTTCCTAGAATTAAAAAAACATTAGATCATATCTTTTTCTATCACAATCCATTTACCAATTTCTTGATAAACACTTAATTAATCAAATTGACTCTGAATAGATTTTTTTAATGATTATCAATTGCATCTGGCTAAGAAAATTTCAAATTTCAAATACTTGCTAGACAATAAAAATCTCTTTTATAGTTATTGACGAGCCACAATGGTTACTAATAAGAAATGGAAAAAATTATTAGGAGCTGTATTATATGCATGTAATGTATAATATTTTTTGTACATACATATTGTATTAATTATACTAAAAAGTTTACTTTTTAATGTATAAAAAACATTTGATTTTTTTTAGCTGTCAAAGATAAAGGTAATAACAACGAAGATAAAGTTTCAATTTCGTTTTCAATAACTTCATTATTTTGAAAGTTGGATATTTTTTGATAAAAAAAATATCCAATTTTCTAAAGAAAAATTTGGGGGGTTTTAAATACGATAGTATTTTTGATTTTTTTTCGCTGCTTTTAGTTCTAGCTTCTAATACTCTAAAACTTTATAGTTTTAGAATACATTTGAATTATTATTTAATATTACTTTCAAAGTCATACTTATATTTTTGTTTTACGCAATGGGTTTACAAACAATATGTTATACAGTTTGATATTTTGTGTGATTTACTCATACAACTCACAAAAAATGTGTGAATGCAGGTGCGGCTTTTAACAGAAAAGTGTGAATGACCTAACTGTAAATTCAAATTGATCCAGTGATACAGGCTGCTTAGAATGTATGTTACTAAGAATGATATGATGTAAAGAGAAAGTTTTGGTAGGATGTGAAGGTTACGATAAAAATTTGAAGAAAAAAAGTGTTAAAATGTAAAGAGAAAAAAACACTTTATTGTAAAAAAAAACTATTTTAAATGTAGTTTCTATTATTGTTATTTTTTTAGCAACAAATCCAAAAGCTCAAGAAGCTTATATGAGTGGTAACAATGTTTATGTTCCAAATGTAAGTCATACTTTTTAGTTTATTTTTTTGTAAAGGACTTTTTTTTTATGTAGAAATTTTAGGATTTAGAGGACTTTTTGAAGAAATTGACGATTGTTCACCCCCACTTTAAAACCCGCTTTATTGTACCTACTCCATCTTTTAATTTCGAAACACGAGTTAAACACTCTTAAAGTTAAATAGTTTTGTGTTGTGAATTTTTTTTTTTATTTGTTTTTTTTTTTTTAATTGTTTCTAATTAAGTTCTAAGATATAAAATTAAATTTGAGTTGAACAGTTTTGAATTTTTTTTTTAAATGTGCTCGTCTAAAAAATATTTTTTGAAAAACTTTGTGATAAATTTTGAACAATTCCTTATTTTTTGGTAAACTCAAAAGTTGCGGTAGTTGTGAAGTTGCAGATCGATAGCTTTGTAAGCTTCATTTTTGTTGTAACGCTATAAAACAACAAACCTTTGTTTTAGTGGTTCTTTTTTTTAAAAAAAGTAGTTATTTTGTAAAAATTATTTTGTTCGAAAAATTATATAAAAATTGATTTTTATTATAAGATTAACTAGATATAAATTACTCTTTTTTTGTCCAGTAGGGCTACTTTAGCCTTCAATGTGGCATAACTAAAATCTCTACATATTATGTTTTAAAAAGTGAATACATGTATTCACTTTTTATAATATAAAACATCATATGTAAAAATTACCTATACGTAACTCTGCTTGCCATGGTATCTTACGTTCGGATTGAGCTAACGTAGTCTCTTATAACAATATTAGAGTTTTTTTTATTAAAAAATAATAATTTTGCAATTAGTTTTTGGCCTCCGAGTTGCTGTGAGCTTAGTAACTTTGGTTGAGACTTTTTAGAACCCAAAATATATTTTATTAAAGGTTTAAAAATACTTTTTACTTTTAAATTTTTTTATGTTTAGGAAGCTCCCCCTCCATACAATCCAAATTATGATGTAAAAAAAGATCAATAAGCGAAAACAATTGGAAAACGTACAACTTAATCTTAATAAAGTTCTGCATTTTCAAAATCAATTTTAACTTGAAATTTGAACGAAGTCGGTGAAGACGAAAATTTTCAAAGTAACCGTTCACTTTAGTGTACCTGTTTCGAATGTGTTTATATTATTTTATTTTTCTTTAATTTTTTTAAACCATAAAACCTTTGACTTCAAAAAATATAACAATATTGTAAACAATACTGTTTTTGAAATTAATTTACTGTTATTGTTTATTATTCTGTATATTACTCTATACAAATATTAAAAAGTTATTTCTCGAAGTTTCGTTATAAATAACGTGTAGCTTTATTTTATATTTATAACGTTTATATTGGAGAAAACGATACGTTAAAATCAGTTGGTTTTATCGCTTCCGTTTAAACAGAAATTATTTTTATTAACTATATCATAATATTTAGTAATTAGCAGTTTTAGTAACTGGGGCTTAAAGAAGGTTTGGTAACTAGGGCTTAAAGAAGGTACTGGGATCTTTGTTAGAGGTTTTTATCTGTGCACCATTTTAATCATACTAATATTAACATATACTTTATTCATTTTCCACAATTGATTCATGACAGAATGATTAAATTCTAAGAAAGAAATGTGTGATAACGAAAAGATAATGAAATGCTTTATTCGAACTATTATAAATAACAATTTTTGAATATGATTACAACTCTTATAACTATTATTACTGATCAACTACTAGTACTTTTTTTTTACAGTCTTCTTTTGCTCCTTTTGCGTTCCTGTTTAAACTGTTTTTAAAGAATTTTCTAGAGTTTAAATGGTACTTTTCGCGAATAGTCTTTTGGTAATTCATTCGCGTCATTTAATAAATACTTCGCGCCGTTTAGTAATTCTTTTACGTTCTTTACTTAAGTGAAGACCGCAAAGGAATAACGTGTATGTTTGGAGGGCAAACAGTAGTAACGAAATGAAGTAGCAACTTAAAGGGAACGAAGATTAACGTGATAATGATCGATGAGATTACAGCTAGCAGTGTAATGTACTCTTCTTCAAAACTTCCTCTTTGTTCGAGCTTTGTTCAATTTTTTTGATTTTCTACGTCAAGAATCTCTTTTGGTTGTAGCTCTCCTAAAAGCCTGCATACTTTTGATAACGTACAGTTGTTTATAATACCATGCATCCAAAAAAACTCTAGTGATTCGAGCCCAACTTAAAAATCTCTCAGGCTGCAATCGCCCAAAAACATTTTTATTTAAAAAAGTTTTTATATAAAATAGGGTAAGTAATAAAAAAAAAGAAAAACGAAAAATTGTTCATAATAAACACAGATTTATTTTAAGGAGAAAAGACATATACATAAATTGCAGTCAACGGTAATTCTAGTGTATTATTCCCAGCGAACAAAGATATTGATATAGCATTGGGGTTTTATTGTGCCCAATAAAATGAATTTTTATTGTGACAAAAAAATGAATTTGCTCCAGAGAATTATTTAATTCAAACCACAATATAGGATCTCGATATCTGTGGTGGCTTTTATAAATATAGATTACAAGTTATGTTAGCACAAAAACTGCGTCGATCATAGAAGTGCATGCATTTAAGCATCAAATTATTAAATAATTTTATAACCAAAAAAGGTTTTCTAGTGGTTTGATGATCAAAAAAGGTTTTCAAGTGGTTTGATAACTATATAGTTGTAAGACCAACTGTTATTTTTATTAACGTAAAATAAAAACGGTTTACATTATTTTTTAAATACAGTATAATTAGCTTATAAACAAAGATTATTTTTATACGCGAAAGGTAATTACGCATTCCCTTTTTAAATAATTTATAAGTTGATAATCAACATTATTTTAGAGGGTAACCTTGTTCTGTTGATTCAAGGTATTCAAACATCATTAATATGCAAACGTGTTGTGATCTGAAACTATAAATATTTAAAATGAACAATATAATGGTATTATTTATTAATTTTTTGAAATGTTTGCTTCAATATTATTATTTAACTTTGGAAACATTTATTTGTTAATTTAATCCGGTTTGCTTTTTTTGTCTGCTAGTGCGCTTAAATTGTTGTTAGCTCGAACACTTATTGCGTAAAATAAATTTATAGGTAAGATTTTTTATTTCACATGTTTTATTGTTTTTTTTTAATTTTTTAAATAGTTTTAATTTTACACGTACTAAAACCCCTTGTAGAAGGGTTGTAACAGGTTAAACATCCCTTATTACTTTATTAAACTGTTTAGTAATTTCAGTGTTTTACCAATTATTTGCGCGAATATGATGATATGATAAGATACGATTGTATCTCACGGGTTAAGTATATCTCTTTAACTATATGTTTTATATGAAATTTTATGCAAAAAACTATTTAGTTTATTTTTTTTTTTTTCCGAAAAATAATTAAAATGGGTTGCCACAGATTTAATCCTCCCATTTTATTTTAACCGTGTCCTTAAAAATATTTTCAGAAAAATGATACTAGCACTAAACCCTTCTCTTTCCAGAGAAATGCTTTTCAAAAGATATATTTCAAAACCAAAATATATTTACCAAATATTTTACGCATGCGTGAAACATGGTCTCACTGAATGACACCATTAGCGCCTGTAAACTTGAAAAGATTTGTGTAAATTTTTGTTCTAAGTCTGGATTCTTAAAATATGTGTTATGACAATAAGTATGCAGTAAAAGGAATAAGTTTTTAATATAATATATATATATATATATATATATATATATATATATATATATATATATATATATATATATATATATATATATATATCAATTTTATTTCTTTTTGTTTTCAGAGATGCCAGAATATACCAATTCGATATGCGGCTGTTGCAATGATATAACTACTTGTTTAATAACATACTTTTTACCTTGCTTGACAGCTGGTAAAAACGCTGAATTTGTTGGAGAAAACTGCCTGTTGTATGGTTGTTTATCGCTTACGTGCGTTAATTTTTTCTTTAATGCAAAAATAAGGGAAAAAATAAGAGCAAAATACAGCATAGAAGTGAGTTTTGTTTTTTAACTTTTTTTATTCTGTTTTTATGAAGAAAATTCTTCGTGTTATAATACTACACGTTCCAGGAACGATTTAATATTCACAAAGTTCTAATAATCGAATTTCAAAAGTGAAAATCAAACTCTTTTTAAAAATTTTTTTAAAACTTAAATTGTACTTATTTATTATTAATCGGAGTATCAGTTTATTGATTTTTCAATTATATATATATATATATATATATATATATAATATATATATATATATATATATATATATATATATATATATATATATATATATATATATATATATATATATATATATATATATGTATGTATGTATGTATATATATATATATATATATATATATATATATATATATATATATATATATATATATATATATATATATATATATAACAAAAGAAGATACCTACCTAACAAGGATGATAATTTATAACTTATTTGATATAGGGTTCGTTTCTAAACGATATTGTTTGTTATTGCTGTTGTCCATTATGCGCCTTAGTTCAAGATGCCCAGGTTAAATTTTTTTAATTTAAAATCCGATTAAATTTTAAAAACAATGTTTTTATTTACCATATAAATTCTGTTATATTTCTTATTATTTATGCCTTTTTTTTTTCGTTAGGAAATTACAGCACATGGTGGTCCCGGAGTTTTAAGCATGGCAAGAGAATAAGCAAACAGAACAAAATTGAAAAATAATATTTAACATAATTATTTAATTATGTTAATTTATTATTGTTTAAGAAAGTTATGTTTTAAACGTTGTATCTGTTATTTACTCATTTAATTTTGATTTTTTTGTTGATTGATTTGATTTTTTTTTGTTTGTTTGTTTGATTAATACAAAAAATTTCGTTTTAAAATCAAAAAAAATTCATTTTAATAATCTTAAATTCATAAATTTTAAAGAATTTTTTGTATTGATTTCAACGCGGGCATTTTGTAATCATGAAAAAAACAGAAGTTTGATATTTAAAAATTTTTAATTTATGTTAGCTTTTTATAGTTTTTTATAGCTTCATAAGTAGAATTTATCAAGGTCCTTTGTACTTTTAAATGCGGAATTTTTTTAAAAAAGCTGGTGTGAACCAAAAATATATCAAGCCAAACAAATCTTAAAACAAACAACAAATGTATTAAGAGTAGGTAATAGTTGTTGAAAATAAGCAACTTTTTTTTTAACGAGACTTTGAAAAACTCTTTAAGTCTCTCTCTCAAGTCAAGATTATATCTTTTTCACATCATAGCACATCGCTACCAAATGACATGACTTTTACGTTTAATGTTTTAATTTTTAAAAATCTAAATGTTATAATACCATTTTTTAATCTAAATGTTATTATGTCATTTTTGCTGTATATAAAAAAGTAAGAATAAAGTTTTAAACAAAACAAAATGGTACCTTGTTGTTATGGTAAACATTAAAAAATATAAAAAAAAAGTCCTTGCATAAACAGATTTCACGCCTGTCTGAATTGTGGGCAGGGAAAAAAAAAATATGGTTGATATTTTTATATGGTGTTTTTGAGGTTTCACCGAAGCTGTGTATAATATTTTGATTAGTTTAATATTCAAATAAATGAACGTAATGTTTATCTTTCCAAGTATTTGTTTGGTGCATACATTACTTGACTAAGATTTTATCATACTCATACCTTTTGTTTTTTTATGTTGCATGCATTTATTGTTTTTTTTTTTTTTTTTTTATGTGTAGTTTTTAATAATTATTTAATTTGCCAAGATGCATTACTTTTCATTTTATGTTGTTCAATTAAGGTTTTTTGACATTTGACAAAGTTTGTCACATTTTTGCTATTTTTTAAATGTCACCTTGTAGTACATTTTTGTTTGTTTTTGTTAATAATTAAGTATCTTCAACAATAAATTTATTTGGATTTTTAATTTGCTTTGCAAATCGTTAATATAAGTATGCGGTACTCCACTCTAAACGTCTTTCCGAAACAAAATCAAACGCATTAGTACGCATTAGTAAAATCTATCAACATTACATCAGTATTAAAATCAATGAACATTACATCGAATTTGCATTTTTTTAGAGAATTTTTTTAGAGAATTTAGGTAATAAAAATCCATTGCTTTCATCAAATTAGTTGAATTAGTTGGAGTTAAGTGATTTTCTACTAAGTATGACTTTGACAATTTTTTTCATAATTCTTCTTACAATAGGCATCAAGGAAATTCGATAATAACTGTCAAAATTGTCTAGAAAATATTTGATTTAAGAAGTGTGCTGACTTAAATTGATTCGAACAAGTAACTGACTGCTAGAAACAAGAAACAGACGGCTTGAAACTTTTACATCAACAGTTTCTATAGAAGCTGTCACTGCAAAAAAAAAATATGATAAAAATATTTCTTGATAAAAAAAATTAACGCAAATTTTATAAATCAATTGCTTAGTCATTTAATTTTCGTGCGCTAAAATGAACCAATTTTTTTCATTTTAGACTTTTTTTGGTTAATTGTTTTAACCAAATGGTTAATTGTTTTAACCAATGGTTCCAATTATTCCATTGATCAATTAGTCACTGTTAAAAAACGGTCCAAATTCCTGAAATGGAGTGAAAAAACGATGATGATGAGTTCAATTAAGCATGTCAGATCAGAATCATCATTTTCAGTGCGTAAGACAGCAATATTGTACAATGTGCCACGTACAACACTAAGAGACATATATTCTAAAAAGGTTGTTATTGGAGCAAAGCCAGGTTATTGTGCTGCAGCACAAGAAGCTTTTTTCTTAACTGTTTTGTTTATTTACCGCTTATCACACCAGAACATTCGAACGTTCCAAATAATACTGATCAGTACTATTTGGCACTTTACGGATTTGTTTTACTACTTTATCGTTTAACTTATAAGGTCCTCTATTCTTTATTTTTATATGTCAATGACTGTTTCATTTCACAAAACTTTTGTTAATCTTTCTCTATTAAATTTGAGCTTAAGAGATAATTCATAAACAACGAAGGGCTAAATTTAGATAATAAAACAAAAACAAAAAGACAACAAGTTTTTCCTCGTGGAGTTTTTAGTTAAACAAATCTGTTTAACATCTTTCTGTAGATTAGCTCTTTAAGTTTAATCAAAATCACCGCGCAGAAGAGCAAGTTTTTTTTTTAATATAGTTTAGCGTTGCTTAATTGATGGGGGACCGTTAACTTCTTTTTATTTTAATATAACCTTTCGATATATAAGTAAATTGTTCAGTTAAGGCTGGGTCTGATGAAAGAAAATTGTAAAATGATTGACTTACCAGGTAGGGGATAGGAAGAGTTTGCAAACGGAAAATTTGAAACTGTAGTAGAATTAAAGTTTAATGGTTCTAAAATTTCTTTTTTTTTTTTGCTTAGTAAGACTGGTAAAACTATTTACAATGCAGTCAACATTTTTTTCTTTAACTGGATTGACTAAATATGCAAGCTGATTATTACGAACAACGTAATAATCAGCAATAATAACAAAATAAAAGTGTTGCTTTGTAACGAACTGTGAGTTGCGATTTTTTCTTCAGTGCCATTTTGAAATTGTTCTAGATAATTAGCAACTTTTCCAGCATCTATAGAAGCATCAACGTCTGAAAAACTAATTTCTTAAACAATTGATAGTTGGAATTCCTAAGAAAGTAAAAAATAATACTATTGAAATGCAAGTTAGTAAATTTATGCTTCGTTCAGAATTTTTATGAATTTGTACATAAAATATTAGTCGCAGTTGCTAGCTAAAGTTTAAATAATAATTTTTATGGTATAGTAGTATTAGCAAAAACACGGTAGTACTATACAAACCAAAGAACAATAGTCTTCAGTTGTATTAACTGATATATCCTCAGCAATGTGTAGATAGTTTGGTAAATATGTATCACTAGGAATATCCTGGAATTAAATGGATAAATTCCACTCGACTTAAACCCAGATGTAATCTTGCTAGAAGTCATTGCTATTTCCTAAGCTGAAAACTGACCCATCAGATTTTGTGCTGTAGAGCGATAATAATCCTTCAGTGGCTTGAATAAGGTGCGGTCGCATGGTTGAAGCCAGGTTGCTTGAAAGTCTTTTCTTGAAGTTGATTTTATGCTTTGTGGCAAGTTTCCCAGCATAATTCAGGAACTGTGACTTTCCAAAACATACCCCTTAACCCAGTGGACACAGACATAAAAAAGACGTCTTTAAAACGTCTTATTCACGTTTTTGACGTCTTTTGAACGTCTTTTGAACGTTACGGACGTCTTTTGAACGTTCAAAAGACGTCTTTTTTTGGTCCAGTGCCCACTGGGAATCGATTCCCAGTGGGAAAGTTTTTCTTCCAGAGCAAAAGGTAGGGTAGGTTTTCTTCCTGGCTTTGCTCCAATAACAACTTTTTTAGAATATCTGTCTCTTAGTGTTGTACGTGGCACATTGTACAATATTGCTGTCTTACGCACTGAAAATGATGATTCTGATCTGACATGCTTAATTGAACTCATCATATTTTTTTTCACTCCATTTCAGGAATTTGGACCGTTTCTTAACAGTGACTGATTGATCAATGGAATAATTGGAACCATTGACACAATTTAAAGACACATCAGTTGTTGGTAGCTGTTTCATTTGACAAATATCAAGAGTACTACTACCAAATGTTAAAGGAATTATACCATCATGAAGATGAGTTGTACTATAACATATTGTAGCCTCTGTTACAGAAGCAATCTTTCCAACCGACATCCGGTGAAATCTTGGTGATGGTCTGCATCCCCAACCTCTTGTTTTATCTATGTTTTTTTTTCTCAAGACAATACCTAGATAAATTAAATTGCAGTATGAATGTCATATTAATTTAATAAAATACTCCAAATTTACAAGAGCTACAAATATAAACACGTGGTCAAAACCATATATTAGTATTTGTTGCCTAATCCCAACCCTAGAATTTCGCAGTACTTAATTTACAATGAAGTAAATAAGCATTTAGCTAAGTAATAACAAAAGTCTAAAATAACTAAAACATTAGGTCCAAAACGTTAGGTTCAAAAGATCAAAACTCGTTTTATGCATAATAAAAATGTTTTTATTCTTCTTTAAGGTGGTACATCCCCATTAATTTTAAAAATTAAAAAAAAAATTAATTTTTTTAGTTCATAAAACATATTTATGATTTTTTTTTTTAAAGTAAAATATATAAATAAGTATTTAAAAATGTGTGTACTTTGGCTATTATAGGGTTTTGAGGGTCATAGTAACGCTATAACAACGCATTTTTAAACAAGAGAATTTCAACTTGTTGAAGCTTTAAAGCAAAAATATCTTATTTATACTTCAGCTTCTTCATTATAGAAAAATAAAAACATTTTTATGCATAAAATGAGTTTTGGATCTTTTGAACCTAACGTTTTGGACCTAATGTTTTAGTTATTTTAATAACTAAAACATTAGTTCTTAAATTGAAAATAAATAAAATATGCATTATTTGTAAGCACAACAATACTCAAAGAAAGAGTATTGTTTTGAAGGCAATAAAAAATAAATTAACGTGGATATCATCAATTTTCGTCAAAGCAATTATCAAGTAAGTTTAGGGTTCATTTTACAATAATGCCGAGGATGTTGAACTAAGGGTAATAAGTTTATAAAATTATTTCCTCAATAATATATAGAACAAAATACATAAAAAATACTCTTTTGTAAGCATTCAAAAAGATTATGCTCTTAATATGTATCCTTACGAAATTTTATGATTTTGTTTTTCAATAATTTTATCCCAATTTAATGAAAAAATAATGGGGGTCACGGCGAAAGGTATTTT